TTAGCGACATTTTGTTGAAACCACCGGAAACGAAGAAATTCGAAACTCTGAAGGCACGGTTGTTAACCGTTTATGAAGAATCAGAAATGCGGCAATTCCAAAAACTGCTGAGTGAGATGGAGTTAGGCGACCAAAAGCCTTCACAGCTTTTGCGACGAATGAGAGATCTTGCACGCGAGAACGAGAGAGAGAATCAAAATACAACTCATATGCGGTGGTTCACTGTATACCCTATGGTTCACTGTAGACCTACCCCCTGGTACAGTGTGTACTTAGGTTTGAACACAGTGAACCATTTCCCGAATTAAAAAAAAAATATGAATTCTCGCTATTCTAATAAGTTTAATGCTCAATTTGATATACAGATTTAAAGTATATTTGACACAAAGTAATCTATCAAAAAATTGAAATCTTTGTTACAGTTACATAGAATGGACTTCTGAGCTCTAAACTTTTAGTGGTTCACTGTTGGCCACCTTACAGTGAGAGGGAGATATAAGTGTATGCGTCCAACTGTCATGGCGGATTATTCTTTTGTTCTGTAACGTGTTCATTATTATAATAAATAAGTTGCATAAATTAAAGCCCATTTTTTTTATTTATCTTTATCTGGTTATGGGCCCAGATTACTGGGACAGAACATGAGAAGATTTTGAAAGCAACATAACTACTTAAATACTGTAGTATAAAAGTGAAGAAAAAAATAACCGGCGAGCGTCGGCGTCGGCACCGCGTGGCGGCAAAAAGTTAGAGGCGGGAAGGAAAAATTACTTGTTCGAAAGTGTTCAGCAAGGAAGGAAAATTACTACAGGAAGGAAGAAAATGGAGTCCATACAGAACAATCATCTTACTCATTTTAATATAAAACTGGAAGGTGCCAAAAACTGGAATATTTGGAAATTTCAAACGTCCGTGTTACTGCGGGGCCAAGGCGTCTACAATATAGTGGATAGAACTTCAGTTAAACCTGAAGGTGAAGTACAACGCAATCGTTGGGAGGCTCAGGATGCGAAAGCTCAAACGTTGTTGGTCACAAGAATGTCGGAAGAAGTCATGTTACACACCATCTCGTGTGAGACCGCTACTAGTATGTGGCAGAAATTACTTAGTGTCTACGAACAGAAGTCTGAAACAAGCATACACATCATACAACATCTTTGGATTTGGATCGACACTACCATAGATAATGTACTACATGTTCCGGAATTGTCAACTAATTTGTTCTCTGTGAACCGTGCAACAAGTAAAGGTACTCGGTTGCCAAAGGAAGAAAAAAAAAAAGTAAAGGTTATATTATCGTGACCGGCGAAAATGAATGCAAGTTTTATAAAGAAAATATGGTGATGGCTGTTGCTGAGCGTAATGGCAGCATGTATTATTTGAATTTTCGTTATCATAACACGTCCGAAGCTAACGGACGTTAGCGTTGCGGAAACAAAGCGTTCAGCTTTGCATGAATGGCATGAAAAAATGGCGCATCAAAACAACTTATGTGAAAGAGGTGTTGAAAAACAATAATGTTGATGTTAATACTCAACTGTCCGACTCGGCGACATGCGAAAGCTGCGTAAAGGTTAAAATTCATCGTCTGCCTTACCCTAGAAGTGGATATGTTAGCTCCAAGACCTGTGAAATTATTCATGCAGATACATGTGGACCGATGGAAGAGAGGTCTATTGGTGGGTCGAGATACTTTGTCGTGTTCAAGGATGATTACCTAAGGTCCATCTGTATTTGGTATACCAATGATGTCTGGACATAATTCAGGAGGAGGTATCTCTATTGGCGGTTCTGGTGAACAAGAGCATGACCTTGAATGATCTGCCATTACTTGTCTATTGGCCAGTTGAGTTAATCTACGAGCAAGTATTTGGTCAGCGTGACGTCTGTGTAGCTCACCATCCTCCGTCCTCACCATATATGAGCTAGGGCCTTCTACCATCTCTACAGTGGCTCTATTCCACTTCTCCCCTGGTCCATAGTTACGAATCAAAACTGGCTGGTCCACCGTAAATCTCCTTTCAGCCTGTTGTTGAGATCAATCCTCTAGCTGTTGTTCCTGTGAACTTGGTACATTATCAGGATACAAACTTGATACAGCTGTTCTATATTTACGTCCATTCAACATCTCTGCCGGAGTTTTGTTAGTCGAACTAGTAGGAACTGTTCTAAGTGCGTACAGTGCTCTAGGAAGTTTTTCACTCCATGGTAGGTTGTTAAGGGACATTTTCTTCAATTTATTTTTAAAAGTTTGTATTGCCCGTTCAATCTGTCCATTCGAAGCCGGATGATAGGGCGGCGAGTACAAATGCTTTATACCATTCTACCTCAAAAATGTATTAAATTCATTTGAAGTAAATGCCTTGCCATTATCTGACACCAAAATATCAGGTATGCCTTGTGATGCAAATATCTTCCTACACACTTATCACAACTTCACTAGACATGGAGGAAACGATCTCTGCATCAAACCACTTACTATAACTGTCAATCATTACAAAAAAAGTTTTGCCCTGGAATGGGCCTGCAAAGTCCACATGTACTCGACTCCATGGCCTTTCAGTAACAATCCAGGCTTGTGGATCTCTTGGTGGATTATTTCTAACCGCTTGGCATGCCTCACAGCTTCCCACCACACTCTCAATTTGTATGTCCATTCCTGCAGGCTTACTCTTGAAACTAATTTCAATTCCAATCCAAAGCCAATCCAATTCCAATGCTAAATTTGAACTCACGACATTCGGTACTCTTGAAAACAATAATGATAACATTGGATTGAAATCGGAATTGTCCCGCGATTGTTTAGTGTAACGTGAAGTTAGCTATGCATCGAAACACAATAGTGTTGCTCGACTTTTTACGATAAACTTGAGACAGGGCTCTAAAATCATATATCTTTAAAAAAATAAGGTTTAAAAATAATAATCATTCATATAATTATTTGTTTTCTAT